GGCTAATGTCATCATTAATTCTGAGCCTGTTTCTGTTTAAAATATCAACATCATCAGCGCTTTTTCCTTAACTGGATGATGCAGTATGTATTCAAAATCATCGCACACGCGTTCACTGAGCGAGTACTTTGCTCTATAAAAGAATTGTGTGTGTTTAAAAAATAGAAAGAAAAAAGAATAGCATACGTATTTACCATCAGATGTTTTAAGTCGTTATGCTGTTACAAATACCAAACCTATGCTCGACACGCACGGGCCAAAATAGAGCAACATAAATATCACGACTATACTATTACATTATTTTATCAAAAATAGGGGTTCATCAAAATAGGAGTAGCCTAGTCGTGGACAAAAACTACTTTCTCGGTTTTCGGAGTAAGCCCTACAGTACCTGTTGAAACGATTTCTGATGCTGGTAAACCCTGCTTGGAGTTGGCGACAGCAATCACGGTTACGTTCACTATTTGTAATGGGTTTAAACAAGAGCATTCTATACTGGCCGAACCAACAACCGCGTCTATGACTGATGAAGCTGGAACTCCACTTGAACAATTAACAACGAATTTTGAAGCGAAACCAGTTCTCATTTCCCATGCGACAGATATCGAATCCAATGAAGATGTGCGATTTGTGAACGTCACAACGTCCGGGTCTAATAATGATGATGATGATGATAATAATAATAACAATAATAATAATAATAATAATAATAATAATAATAATAATAATAATAATAATAATAATAATCATAATAATATTAATAATAGATGGATTTATATAGCGCAAATAAACGAGGTCTCTATGTGCTCAGAATACGGTAGAATATAACGGGATGCATAGCACAAAACTACTCAGAAAAAGGTGTACGGTCTGTTTTCCCCCTAACAATTTATCCCCAGGTCCAGGGTGATTTGGCAAGAGCGACATTTGCTAGAGTACGTCTATGGCCCATTCCACCGTTTATAGAATTAGATCTCCTGCAGACTGTCAAATTTCCTATGGACGTTACATACAGTGGAGAAGGGCAAATTTACCGACGGGCCGAAAGTACTGTGTCACCGGTTCAAAAGCTGTTGTTAACCTGTTGAAATAGATATCAACGCAGTACTACAGAACAGTTACCATTCAGTGCTTCAACACCCAAATTCGCACTACTAGATAAGAAATAATGTGAGATGTGAGGGCCGATGTCACATATGGATTTCACTCCACAAAATTAGAGTGATTTGTCCGGGGGAAATTTGCTATGTGATCGCCCTTTTCGTCTTTTAACGAATTCGCTAGGAGAGCGAATATACGGTTTACTATGAATGTTACAATACAGAGGGATGGCGGAGGTATACAACGGTGGGCGGGAATCAGTGATACCGACCCAAAATCTCAATTTGAAAGAAAGTAATGAGAGTTACTGAAATATTATAATATCAAAGCGTACAAGACAGCAATATCATTAAAATAAAATATATCTAAAAATAGCAAATATCCATTACTTTTATTATCATTTTAAGGGCTTGAGCAGGAGCCTCATTCATCACCACCATGTTATTAAATTTTAAATATAGAAGGTTTTACCTAACTGTATGTTGAGACTTGCAGGCATTCCATACTCAGAATCCGTTACAGAATTGACAGTAATGATGACTGTTGAGCCTGGTACAAGGTCATGGCATATGGCTGCTCCGTGAGTGCCATTCTTGTCTAGTAGAGCAACCGATCCTTCTGAGCAACTCACGTTAAAATCGTCTGCAATTTCGTCTAGAGGAAGTGACCATGAGGCGATTCCAGCAGTCATATTTGTAAATTGCTCCTTTAATGTTGCCGGGCTTGTTTCTAATTTACAATGGAACAAAGAAAAGTGTAGGCCTATCATAATTTGAATTTTGAAGTTTCAGAATTGTTTTTTTATTTGAGTCGCGTGTGGACTCACAGTCGGCTAAACTGGTGGTAGCCACTGTGTGTACTCTTAACCGTAAAGATTCTTCACATATTTGGTCTCTGGTTGTTATAAACATGTCGGAAAAGAGGATTGTTTCCCATGAACTGCCAAATTCATCATCAAAAGCACCCCCTGAAACAAGCAAGTCTTAGAGGGAGTTACCCTTGGTCTGTTCACACCAAAATTACTCTATCCTATATGTGGCACATGACCGCCTTCATGCGAGACGTGGCTTCACCTCTGCAATGTCGTAACGCTGGCGCCGGGCCCCTGTGGCTTTAAGAGGCTGGGGCCATTTTAGGTCCGGATCGCTAATTCTGTTGTGGAATTTTATATGTCCTCGTTTTTAAATCATGATTGTCAATGTATTCTAATTATGTTTTTAACGACGAAATTAATGATATGATGTTAGTGGTGGATCCATAAATTGGAAATAGAGGGGGATGAAGTAAGGATTTTCTCACATGTCTATACCACCTCAGCCACACCATGGTTGGGGCTGAGGTAAGAAAATGTTTGATTATGACACCTCTTGATGGACGGAAATGACACTCAGACTTAAAAAAAATTAAATATATTATTTTCTTTTTATCTCCATATTTTATATTTAGGGGGTCCAGACGACCTGGCCCTTTTTAATCCATCACTGGATATAATATAATGTACAACATCGATGTCAAAGGCACATTATATACTGTTATCAACAAGCTCTTTTGGTTCAGGGTGCTAGATCGAGGACCGCCGAACAAGAGCGCCTAAGCATTACGCCACTGCACTTCTGAAAGTGGTTTGTTAGAGGAGTGTGGAACCATTTGTAACGAAACAGCCGATTTATTATTGTTTTAATGAATGATTTAGAGTAATTAAAAAGACGCATCCTACATGCTAATTATAATGGTTACACGGGCAGGCAAAGATTTTTCCTCTTGTGAAAGTCCTCGATGTGAAGCTTTTTTTGCACTATGAGCTCAACGTGTACAGTATCCTCCTCCTTATCATCACGATCATTATAATCAGCATTACTGTACCATCATTATATTGAAGTTATGTAAACATGAGATTTCTTACTTGTTGTTATGGTCACCGAGGCGGTAGCTAAAATTTCAAGATACGACGCAGATACGTTGACTGTCACATTATTGCTTGGTCGGGTTCCATTACAAAAAACAACCACAATTTCAGAATCCACAACATCAATGTTTGGAGATGGATTACCCTCTGAACACGTGGTGGTAATCTGGTTGACACGCCCTGCTGTCACAATAACTCTCACTGATACTGAAGAGCTTGAAACATCCTCTTTTTCCAGTTCAATTTCAACTGCATAAAATAAAGATCTTTCAGTTGTGGCTAGATACACAATACAGGCCCGTAGCCAGGGGGGGTTTTCATGGTTCGGGCGAACCCCCCTTTTCTAGCGAACCCCCCTGTTTTCTAGCGAACCCCCTAGAATTTTTGAATGAGTCCCACTCGGACGGAATGTCTGTTTTTAACTTACCCAGCATTAAATCAAAATTTAGCACGTAATTCATTATTTGGTCACCCGTTTTTAAATTGTAGCAAGCGATACAAGCCTACATTCATAGAATATCTCAGCTTCAGAAGTTCGGAGATTTAAATTGAACGCAA